CAGTCAAGCGTCACAAGGCACACACGGGGAGAACCCGCAGAGTTTGGTTACCACGTCTATAGCCAACACCACATGCCCTGTATCCTTATAGGGAAGCAGCCCAAAGATCCCACATGTCCGTAATTGCTAGCGGTAGTCACGGCAGTTATGGGAGAAGAGGGTGGTAAGGAAACAAGCAGGAAGGGGGAAAGCAGGACAAAGAGCATGCCTGTGAGTGGGAACTCAGAAGCACACAAGATGCAGCAAGGGCTCCCAAAAGTCTGTCAGAGCCTGATAGGAGGAACTCGGTGTTCACTGTTTCCCAGACAGTCTGCAACAACTTTTATGACTTGCTAACAGCCCTGTTCTTAAAGCTTGAATTCTACTTTGTTCTCACCTGTTCTACCCCTGGCCTTCATTCTTGTTAAAAGGCATGTTTAAAAACACTGCACGAACCCTGGGGATGCCCAGCCATCCTAACCAAGACGGCGGAGAGGCCCAGTAGTGCGGTGGGCTGGAGAGGCGATGTCTTTCTGTTCAGACTCAGTCACTCTGACGAAAGGCCTTCAGAGGCGCCACGGAAGGGATGCAAAGGTGCAAAGGATGCTGGGCCAGGAAGCAAAGGATTCCCTTTGGGCCCAGGTCGGCTCGGTGACCGCTGGTCACACTGGTCCTCAGCTCACTGAAAAACACTCCTTGCCCTCAGCCATCCACCCAGGATTCCATTTAGAAAAAGCACGGAAGAAGGCTCTGCAAATTATAAAATTAAGCGCTTTTATTCTAACTTGAATTACCTTCATACGAAAATTCCAGTTAAAAAATAAGCCTTGAAAAAAAAATCAATCAAATGCAACAAGACGCCAAACCCTAAATATCCCTTCTTCACAAGAATAGGCACGTCGTTCAGCTCCAAGCCGTGAAGCCAGACTTGCCTAGGCAAGGAAGCGGCTTTTAGGTTTATTTTTATGCCTCTCCTCCTCCTCTTCGCCACTGAAATAATAACACTCATTTCGTAAAGCCAGGAGATGGGGGAGAGCTGAGAACCACAAATAACACAACAATCCTCAGGGCTGTGCCAAGGATAATATATTAAGAAAAAAGTTAAAAACAGTGATTTAGTTTCAGATGCAAATGCTTCACCTGCCCAGAATTTTTGCTGGGAACTTTCTGGCAAGATATAAATCTCAGAAAATTCCAAACAAATGAAACTCTAAAGGCGAATTACTTGGGAAAAATGATCTGTGGAGACCAAGTGCACACCTGCCATTCTCGTCCAGCTCTTGACTGTCTAGAGGATCGCCCTGCAACCACAAAAGCCCTTGCTAGAGAAGGCCTAGCTTCCGGCGAGTTGACAGCTCCTTGGTTTTGATGAAATCCCTCTACTTCCTGTCAGCATTGGTCAGTCCCGGGTTCCAAACCTATGAAGTCTGGATGCAAGAGACCACTGCATACTACTGACATCTCTCATATTTGCTCAGCACACTGGAACAGGGGACTAATAAACCACAGGGAAAGTGCCCACTTAGAGAAGGCTTATAATCCAACAGGGGGTGGGGGGCTACACCCAAAAACCTAATGCAAAGGGAAACAGAGAAAATGAAATGAACTGTAAATTGATGGTGGGTCAGTTAACACACAGTTCACACAAAACCAGAAACTCACAACCTCCCTATTAACCAGTTTCCAATTTACAAACCTTCTAAACAGCATAGCTCATCTGTTCATTCACAAGCTACTTATCGGGTACTTCCCATAAGCCAGGCCCTATATCAGGCACTAAAAGACACAGCCCTGCCTCTTAGAAGACCAGGCAGACTACGTGGCAGTAAGCAAACAGGCAATCACCGCACAATCACACTGTGATGTGGAGGGGAAAGAAGAGGGCCCGGGAGGACCTAGAAGAGGCACCTATCCTGCAGCAGGGAAGGGAGATCAGAGCAAGCACCCCAAAGTGGGGACTAGGACGTGACTGGAAGGAAGAACACGCTTTAGCCAGGGGAAGGTACGTGTTCCGAGCAGAAGCAGCAGCCCTCGCAAGGCCCTGATCGACAGTGGCACCATCCAGGAACCGCAAGAGCCTCTGCAGGCCGCAAGGGTGTGTGCACATTGAATTCAAGGCCACTGCTGCTCCCTGCCAGAGACGCGGGAGACAAAGAGAGTTATTGAAACCAGGGAAGAGAACATTCAAGAAGCAAACACAGGTAACCATGTTGAATGGCACTACAATAAGGATGCAGAGTATCAGTCGGCTTAGCAAAGGGGAGGCTGACAGCTACCTTGTCATAAATTATTTCAGGGGCCCGGTAAAGTGGAGTCCAGCTTCCTTGTGGAAGATCAACAATGGGCACCGGGCCTGATTGATTTTAAAAATCTCTGCTGAAGAAGGAACATACCTACAGAGCACCAGGCAGGGACGGTCTCGGTTGGAGGAAGCTGAGAACTCTGAATTGGTTCAGGCAAACTGGTAACAGAAAGGGAGGGCCAAGAACACATCCCAAAGAACATCAGTGAGCAGCAGAGCAGGACCCTTGAGCAGGTGACGTGGGAAAGGGTATGGACTCCAGATTGAACGGGTACCCTACACAGGACGAAAGACTCCCTTCCCAGACAGAAATGCAGCGGAAGGGTGGCAGTAAGCTTCAGAGCTGACAGTCCAAAGCTGAGGGAGACGGCAATGATTACAGTGAAGAGGAGACATCTGTGGATGAAGACTGGGTTTCTCAGGACTCAATCTGCAGAACTAGATTTTCTCCAGCAGCTCTCAGGAGACTTAAAAGAGAAAGGCAGGGGAATGGCTGGTCCGGGACTAGAGCTGGCCAGACACAGATGGTAAGAGCTCGGGAGGCAGCATCTAAAGCAGCCGTGTAAGGTGCAAAGTGAGGCCTAGGCGGGTGGGGAGGGCAAAACAGCTGGAAGTCTGGATGCAGGAGACAACCCAGCGGAGGGAAAGGACCCAAGTGAGAGAACGCGGAAGCACAGGAGGCTGCAGTTGGAGGGCGGAAGGCCCGAGTTAGCAAAATGTGAAAGGCAGGCAAGTTCTCAAGGCAAGTTCTTCAGGGCCAGAAGAGGCAGGAGGACAGGAAGTTCCCAGGGGATGAGGCGAGGACGCCACAGCAGCCTTGGAAAAGGGAGAGGCTGTGAGCCTGGAAGCCAAGAGGCGTAGGGAGTGGGGCAAAGGCGCCCATTTACAGCACAAGTAGCTTCAAACAAGGCAAGTGCTTAAGTAATTCCGCAATACGGCAATGTACTGATGAGGAAAGCTTGATGGAATCCCAAGATGCAGACACACGCACACTCAGCCCTAAATCTGCCCCCGCCACCCGGCGTGTTTTCAGTCTCCTCGGCAAAGCATAACCACGAGCAGGGGCCTTACCCAGAGTCTGCTCTTCTGTAAACGCACACATAGCCCCTTCTTAAAAGCAGCTGCCTCCTCTGCAACACTTTGGCTACATAATGGCCTTATTGTAGTAATTCTATCAAGAGGTGTGTGAACTACTGTTTTTCTGCCCTATGCATCTACTTCTGCTGTGTGTGTTCCATGTCGTCTACTCAGTAACACATAAGCGATTCCAAAATAAACTCAGAAGACCAAAAAAACACCAAATCATCTCCCGACCATGAAGCGTCATCCAAGCACCTTTTATTCTACTTTGTTATCCATTTGTAAGGAAACTTTTCCTTTTCAGATCTTTAACTGGCTAGTTAAAGTAATTGACAACTATTTAAAAAAAATAACTATAGTACTAGCCAGTGTGGTGGCATACAACTGTAATCACTGTACTCTGGGAGGCTGAGGCAGGAGGATCACATGTTTGAGCCCAGGCTGGGTAATTTAACGACTTTGCTAAACTGTCTCAAAAAATTTCACACACAAAAAAGAAAGAAAGACACTACTATACATAATCTGCACAGCTAAAATTTTAAAAAGGAAAAAAGAACAGATGTTCGTACATGTTTATTGTCTGCAGATACGTAGTTCTTACTACTTCTTTATGGTAAGAAGAGTTTAGTATGTGAATGGGAAACAGCAGCAATCAGTAAATCATTCAGAATTAGTCAAGATCTTTTTCATTTAAGTTACCATAAAAGTTTCAGAATTTGTAATCCCAGCTGAAGTGTTAAAATACTAAAATTAAGGCTGATTCCTCAGCCATTTAAAGATAATTATCAGTAAACTTAACATATTTTACAAGGCACTTGACCTGAAAGAATTAAATGAAGCCATCTGTGTAATGAGAGCTGCTAATAAACAGACCACAGAATGACAGAAGCCAGCCAACATCATTACAAATCTTCCATACAATTCACAACAAACACACGAGACCTCTATTCTCACAATGTCAGCTGTAGATCCAGGGGCTAGGTCACGCATTTTCAATATATTCTTAGTGAGACAGACTCATCCTTCAAGATTCTTTTTGAAAATCTAAATTTTATATATTAAAATATACTTCTGCTTTTGCTACAGACGGAAGTTTTTGTGTTTACACACTTGAACAAAAGCTTGCACCTCAATGAACACAGGACTGCCTGCCTGTAAGTGCAATGCCCTGTGATTTGGGCTCGGGGCTATGGTCCACCTCCATGACGCCACCCTTCAGAAGGGACCAGGAGCCATTCCAACAGCCAAGGTGAGAAGTCACGGCACAGGAAGCAAATAAAAAGCAGAGAATGGGGGAAATACAGAGAAAGAGAATATACCTACAGATTTAGAAGGTGAGAAATTTAGGTCAAGGAGGGAGAAAGTGAAATAGGACCCCATACCTCCCGAACACAGAAAGGCAAGGAGGAGTAAACCAGGGAACACAGGCACTCGTGGCCCCTTGCTCGTCAGCCCACGCTCAGGCGGCACCTGTTCAGATCTCCTCCAGCTGTTTCGCCCCCTTCCAGTCTTCCCTTGGTTCTTCTTCCCATATCCCCGGGGCACCTGGGGCCTCGACCTGTGGGCTTCTCTCTGTTCAGCCACTTTCCCACCTGGCCTATTCCACTCGTAAGGGCAGCACCAACCCTGTCTTGCTCACCTCTTGCCCCCACTGCCTGACAGAAAGTCTGGCACTTAGTCACTGCTCGTGTGTTTGCCGAATACGGAATGAATGGGCTGCAGCAGTAAGGAGCTTACAACCTAGAAAAGAAGAGCAGAAGAAAGATGGATGAAGATCTTCACCGAGAAATGGGTCTGTGGTTGTTGACTTTAATGTTATATGACAAAGCAGAAAGTAGCTAGAGTAGCAGCAAGTATTATCTGCTGCTTGACCCGAGTGTCCTCAAACACTGGCTGCTTTTGTCCTTTTAGATTCAGCTCTTTTGGGGGAGGAACAAAATTTAGGACAGAGATCTTGACTATCCTATAATAGTAATGGATCATCTTTATTGTTTGTCTCAATTTGTCATGCACAGCATACCTCTATAGGGTAAAACAGATGTTCAGGAAGGATCAAAGGAAAAGCAAGCCCTACTACGTAATTAGCATGTTTGTTGCTAAAGAGTATACACTCTTTAGTGTATACACCCTTAGTATACACTCCTTGCAGCCTATATACTTGTTTTCTTTTTATCATGGTTGTCATTTATTTCATCCCTTAGTAGAAAAGATAAACCATCTGATCATGAGATCAAACACATGACAAATGCTATCATTCCTAACCAAGTCACAATGTGAATTATTAAAAACATTATTTCTTAGACTTCTCAGCGTAAGCATACAAGCATTCTTTTTTCTCAATTCTCATAGGACTCCTCCAATATAACTTCTAGGCTGGTCATCAAAAATACTTCATGGAAATAGCTGAACCTAAGACAAAAATATAGTTACACTCAATTGCTCGAGGTGGAAAAAAAAAGTGGTAGCTTCCAACTTCCTCAAAATAGCAGAAAGGGCTGAGGATGAAGAGGAAAAGGGGAAGGGCAGAGAAGAGGGCAGCACCTGGCCAGGGAGCTGAGCCTGGATTTTGCTGTCAAGGGCATTCATTTCATTTCCTCAGGCCACCAGCCCTTAACCCCTCTGCTCTGACTCCATGTGATGAAGGTACATCCATCAGGAACAAAGCTAAGCATCATGCTATTTCTAACTAGTGCTAACATTACGTTTCAAGACAGAACACAGCTTAGAGTAGAGGCTGCAAACCTGAATGCCTCCAAGGGCCCGACAATACGCACAGACAAGGACAGTGTGAGCCATTGTGGGAAGAGGTCCACCAAAGAGTGCAGACACGTCCACCTGAAGGAGCCGGGCCCCTCGGCTCAGCAGACAGGACAGCTGCCAACCTGGGCACACAGTGATTTTCAGAATCCAGATTTATGTGTGCTTTCTCCTGATTTATAAACTACGGCAAAAAAAATTAAACTTCTCTGTTTAAGAACACTGTGTGCACCAAGCAAACTATGGTTGTCGGTGGCCAATTCGTAAGAGGTTAGAAAACTCAACAGAGGTCAAAAGCTGCAAACTACCTCTTCGTACCCAGGATCCCTGGTCTCTTCAGTCACACGCTTGAAGCTGGAGCCATGACCGCACCACCACACTGTTTTTCTGGTAAAGCTAGATTCAGGTACCAGATACATGGCCAAGCACACTGAGGCTCAGAGACCTGAAACACTTCCTGCCATTACAGACCAAGCGCTGGTGCCCAAGGGAAGGGTACCACATCTAAAGCACCTCACACAGGGCCTGGGGAACAAAACCGAAGTGGATAAATGTCAGTTATTAGCGGGTTTTATCCTGAACAAGCGTAGAGCACAGAGCAGACTGTGATTCTCCCATGAATGAGAGATTTGGGTCCAATTCAAAATCCAGCAATCCTCTATAGACATAAGAACTTCAAAGGGAACTGTATTCATCCATGTAGCACTTAGTACTGGTATAGTAGGATCTCATTTATGCCTCAAAGGACATTTTATTATTTCTAAGGACATAACAGTGGGTTCTTGAACAAGGGGTGAGGGGAGGAAGGAAGGGACAAGGAAAAAAAGAATAGAAGAAAGAAATGGAAACAAAGCTCTTGTGAGTGGAGGGGCCAGCGGGGCCGAAGGGAGGGGACAGGAATGGGAAAAAGAAGCAGCAAGGAGTATCACGTACAGGTACCAATTCCCTATGGTGAATGTGATCACTATGTATATCTGAAGTAGGGCTGGGGATAGGGCTGGGGGTATAGCTCAGCGGCACAAGCACCTGCCCGGCAAGACTGAGGTCCCGAGTTCAATTCCCAGTACCAAAAAAAAAAAAAAAAAAAAAAAGAAGTGTACTGATAAAATAAAGAAAAAAATTATGGGTTCTGAAAGTTTTGAGATAAAATGAAATTTTAAAGTTTTGTCCCATTTTAGGTGACAACACAGAACAGCCATACAATGATATCAAATCCAGCACAAATAGGACATGAAGCCCCAGTTTTTCCAGAAAAGTCACTGTACTCTTGGGACGCCTCCCATGCCCATAGAAATTAGACCCACGCTATGCTATCAGGTGGTCTGGCCTGAGCATTCCACTTTACAGACCTGGCATGCAAATTCTACAGTGGCCACAGAGGCAGGGGTGGACTCAGAATCTGAACGCAGGTTCCCTGAGCTACCTTTGTCCACAACCACACACATCCCTGGTCACGGTCACAGACTGTTCAGAGTGAAATGGTTAAGGCAGCTGGGACCACAGCCTTGACAACTACTGTTGTGTGTAAGGCTAACCGGTATCAGAGAAAGACACAGGCCACTGCCCTTGAGCGCCAAATGCGCTATCATCTGAGGGGAGAGGCCAAGGACGGCTGCCTGTTCATAGCCACACAAAGCCTTGCAGGGTGGGCCATCATCTTTTTTAAACCCTGGAATATCTACTACGTCCTTTCAATCACAGAGGGTAGAGCAAGAGTTTCAAACCTCTGTAAAGAATCTAATTTACTTGCTGGAAAAGTAGAGGTGTCATCAAACAAAGAAATCAATGATTTTAAATTAATGTTACCATGCTTCAAACTGTCCAACTTTCAAAGTACACAGAGAATAATTTTTGGAATGTAGCCAAGGGTAGGATCTAGATTATGACCTACATTCAAAAACTGTCTTTCTAGAAAGCATTTTTAATGGCAAAGGACATAAAATGAGCTGTGAAGAGGAGACTAAAATTAGTTCAAACCACAAATAACCTAACATACTTATCATTTCCTTACGATCAACCTACAAAAATCAAACATTAAAAAGCATTTACAAAACTAAAGTGATGTGATGCCAGCTGAATCTTTTAACTTCAGCCATGTTGCTTCTCCCTGAAACAGACCTGGCATGTAAAGATTACGAAGGATGACATTTTACTAATTTGAAAAGTTCAAGGGAAACTGTTAGAGCCCAGTTTTGCTTCATAAATAAAACAACATATTCCATCTAGTTCTTACATAGTTAGAAGAGCAACTCCTCAAACTGAAGACAGAACATCACCAGTGATGGCCAACACCCTTCTCTAGCTGCACTCACTGACAGCTAGGAAAACACTAGCCTACTGCAAACCAAAGCATGCAGCACCTATATCCTATTTTTTTTTTTTTTAAAGCCAAGGTCTCACTATTTATTTCAGGCTGGCCTCGAACTCAGAGAGATCTGCTGAGATCTCCTATCTCAGCCTCCTGAGTACTGGGATTACAAGCTTGTGCCACTACACTCGCCTACTTATTTCCTACTTTCAAAGCAACGTCCTTCAACAAACAAAGTCTGTTGGGTAACATACAATTTGTCACCCTCAAGCAGCGGAACAAATTGCAAAAAGCTTAAAAAAGAAAAAAAGGCTGGTGTGGTGGCACACACCAATAATTTCAGCAGTCCAGAGGCCAAGGCAGCAGGATTGCTGACAGTCTGAGGCCAGCGTGGGCTACAAAGTGAGTTCAAGATCAGCCTGAACTACATAGTAAGATTCTGTCTCAAAAAACTAAAAAAAGAACAAAAAAAAAAAGGCTCAGTTGACAAATACGCATGCATGAAAATAAGGTACTAGGTTTGTGAAACTTCAGTTTGTTTTACAGTGATTCCCTCTGCATTGTAACTGGTTTGATAAGTCTGTGATAAGTTTTCTGGGAAAAATTCATACTCACAAAGGATGAAAGCAAGTGGTTAAGATGAGTTCAGACCTACCAAATGCCACTGTTCACACTTCACCGTCGGTATGCAAACTTTCAAGAGTGTTCTCAGTAGTAGACAGAAAAATAAGGGAAAGTTGCAGACTTGGGCAGGTATCTGTGGTTGAACAGACTATATAAATGCTGCTAATGGCACTAACAACTCCTAGGAGGTATTCAAGAAAGGCTGCCCGCGTGACACAAAGCAATATCTAGAAATGCTTAGAAATGATACTATGATCACTATATAAAGGGTCCAGGAAGATCCAGCATCATGGAGATGTGTATTCTCAAGTTCAAAAAAGATGAGGACCCACTGACCCTCAGGTGTGGCTTAAAGCAGCTAGCACACTGGAGACTGCCCCAGAAATTTGGTTTTGTGCCTGTGAACCTGAAGTGACTAAATGCAGCTTCCTAAACAAGCACCAATCGGCTTCACCCCAGCTCCAGGGTCGCCCCTAAAGACCCTGGCACCAGGGAGGCAGTCAGTGTCCCCGAGTGGAGGACAACAATAATGCTCTTAACTCAAAGGAGCTGTTACAACACTACTCATATCAGGGTTCAGATAAAAATGGGAAACGATGACAACAACAACAACAAAAATAAAATATCCTCCCTGAAAAAAGATCACTGGATGCCTTCTTAGAGGTCCTTTATCTCCATGCAAAATTTAGCCACACAAATATTCATGACTCAGAGAAGGCATATTTTGCCTTTATCCTTCCAGAAGCAAACTAAGCTCCGACTGTTTGAATAGTAAAGCAGTACAAAATGTAGAAGGGATAAATATAACAGTGACAAATGTTCAACCATTGAGGGAATTTAAAGCTCATTTACCGTATTACACTAAATCCAGCTTGCTTATTTGTTTTATTGAGTGAAGTTATATTCAGAAGTGATTTCATCCTTAGACATTTTTAAGTAACTCATGTTCTTAAGAGAATTCCAACTATTGGAATAATGACTTGATGTTCGCTTTCCTCTAAGCAATTCTGTAATAGTATATAATCCTCTGACTAACCAGTCTCCATAAGAA